ATCGTGAGGGTCAACCGTCAGTCGTGTAGAAAGTAGTGAGGGGTGGATAGCGAAGGGGGTTTAAGGTGTACCCTTGCAGGCCGTTACCTGTAATGCAACTCTCCGAAGTGACCTCCCCGCACCATGCGAAGCACCCGAAGGGCCCGAAGGGTGGGAGGAGAGGACACGTAGGTGAGTGGAATGGAAGGTATAAGGTCTGCAACTTGCATGGGTACACCGGCCCCCGTAGCGTGCCCCGAACGTTCACTTATTCGAGGGTTAGCCCGTCCGGCGAGGACATCCCGCACCTTGTGGTTCCCCCTGTAAGGGGGCTAGGGGGTGGGACAGCCACAGCTGGCCGATAGTGCATCGATTGTTAAGTGAACGCAGGGGGTGTTAGTGCAGGGATGAAGCACCTTGGGGGCCCCTTTAGGGGAGTGCGTAAGACCGTAGCGTGGCCCCGTAGTGAACGATATAGTGCATGATGAGTAGATGGTAACGGTGCAACGTGGATTGGTAGGGTGCTGAGACAGCCACAGCTGGCTCCCTGTGGTGTGGCTAGTAAGCAAAGCGACCTTTCAACCTGAGACGGCCACAGACGGCTCCTTCCAGCGGAAGCTAGTAAGCGAAGCGACCGTTCACTCAATCGTGCAGCACTGATTATCAAGGTCAACGAAGGGAGCCAGCTGTGGCTGTCTCAAGTGTAGCGGTGATGTCATACTACCCGAGACACCCACAAGGTGGCTCACCAACGGAGACTAATAAGCGAAGCGACCTGTGCATTCTGAGTTACCAACCGTGCAACCCTGATTCATAATCCACCTGAGACGGCCATAGGCGGCTCCACCGTTATATTCACCACTATAAGCATCGTCAGGTGCAGCAACGATTAGAAAGAGTCTCGTCAACAGGAGCCAGCTGTGGCTGTCTCAACGATGCAGCTAGGATTATGTTAACCAACCTGAGACGGCCATAGGCGGCTCTATCCGATTAATGTGGTAAGCGAAGCGACATGGGTACCATCCACCTGCAACCCTAATCGTTAGTTCAACCTGAGACACCCACGAGGTGGCTCCCTAGGCTCAGTTGATGGTCGAAACGACCTGTGCATGAGTTACTCACCGTGCAACCCTAATTGTTAATCAACATGAGACACCCACAAGGTGGCTCCCATTTAATACGACCTAAGGATTAATCGGGTTCAGGGTGAGCACCCTTCCGTAAGATCATTCTCTTTTAATGCAACGACTCACCATTCCGCAGGATAGCCATCTAATAAAGACTTCCGAAGGAGTATCATCTGATAAAGAACCGTGCAACATCAATCTATTAGTAATGACCTGAGACAGCCACAGCTGGCTCCATGTAGTGATGGCTCTAAGCGAAGCGACATAGCATGTTGAGCCACCTCGTGGGTGTCTCGAGCAACAACGTTTATCAGGTGGTCATCAAGGGAGCCAGCTGTGGCTGTCTCAACAGGAACTAATGTTAGTAAGCAAAGCGACCTCGTTGTGCAAGACAACTGGTGATGAATTCAACGGTGCAGCGGTGATTTAAGTGACCAACCGAGGAGAGCCAGCTGTGGCTGTCTCAACACTTCAGCAATAATGAATAATGTTCAACATGAGACACCCACAGGTGGCCCCATTAACCGGAGTTAGTAAGCGGAGCGATCTAGCAACAAGGAGCCAGCTGTGGCTGTCTCAACAGTTTAACATGCAGCACTAATTAATAAGTTACCATCACCGTTGGTAAGCGACACCTTGGTCATCAACCTCACCGACCGTAAGTGAAGCGACATCAGTCACCACCGTTATCAGAATCATCACCAGCAACGATACTAAAGGATGAGCAAAAGGAGCCAGCTGTGGCTGTCTCAACAATAATTGTAAATAACCTGAGACACCCACGAGGTGGCTCATTATCACTGAGTTAGTAAGCGAAGCGACAGGCGCATCATGATCATCATCTGCAGCCAGGATTATTCATCAACAGAATCGTCATCCTCATGATCATTATTGGTAAGCGGAGCGACTCGTGAATCATGGGGTCAGTCATCACGATCAACGTCATCAACATCATCAAGGATCACCATCGTCATCCTCAACCGTGCAACCTGAATCTTTAATCACCATGAGACACCCACGAGGTGGCTCAATCGATCGGTGTTAGTGAGCGGAGCGACCTGTCATCCTCATCATCGTCACCGTCAACATGAGCATCAACCTGCAGCCAAGGTCTTTAAGTTCAACCTGAGACACCCACGAGGTGGCTCTTACCATCGAATTCAGTAAGCGAAGCGACCTTGTGATCAACACCATCATGGTTATCACCAACATCAACCGCAGCAAGTATTATGAATCCACCTGAGACACCCACGAGGTGGCTCAATGCAACGATGGTGGTGAGCGAAGCGGCATCGATTTCATGTTAACCGTGCAACACCGACTTAAATAAGCAACAGGAGCCAGCCAACATCATCATCAACAGGTTAGCAAAGGGAGCCAGCTGTGGCTGTCTCAATAGTATACTAGCATTAGTAAGCGAAGCGACCTGTTTATTCAACGGTGCAGCCCTGATTATGAACGATAGTAATAGGAGCCAGCTGTGGCTGTCTCAACCAGTGCAGCAAGGATTAATAATGGTAGTCCACCTGAGACACCCACAAGGTGGCTCATTCTAAGCATTATGATAAGCGAAGCGACCTTTAACTTGAGACAGCCACAGCTGGCTCCCATTCCGTAGGGCAGTCAGTGTGTCTATATAACCGTGCAACAATAGTTTATAACCGATCGCCAATAAGCCCGGGGTCAACCTTCGAATAACCCCACGGTAACTTATCAGTTAAGGACCCAATCGATCAGCTATAAGCATGACTTATTAAAAGGATCACCCCACCCGTAACCCATGCGATCATAAACAATAAGAGCAGCAATAATTGTTAATGATCCATCACTAATAAACAGAGGTGCACCCTCACCCAACTCCACAGTACTTTAAGTCTAGGGTCTTAGCTAACCAACGATGCAGCCTGAATTTATAAGGGATCAGCCAACCACCCTTGACCCCATGGTATCTCGTACAACGACCTATAGTAAGGGTACCTCACCCGAAGACCATCCTATCGTACATAAACCTGCAGCCTTAATTTATAATGAACGACCTGAGACGGCCACAGGCGGCTCCATTCAATGATGTGGTGAGCGAAGCGACCTCGTATATCAAGGGTCAGCCGTCATCATCATGATCACAAGGAGCCAGCTGTGGCTGTCTCACGATTCAACAAGAATTAGACTATCCACCTGAGACGGCCAAGGCGGCTCCATCTTGATAATCATGGTAAGCGAAGCGACCTCGTGATCTGAGACACCCACAAAGTGGTTCATTCCCCGCAGTAATGATTCATCATCGTATTCGTCCTGAGACGGCCACAGTAAGTTCAGCTTACTGATTATCGTAAGCGAAGCGACCCTAGCTTATTCAAACCTGTTAACACTGAGCGGAGCGACCTAGATTCACATTCAACAGTGCAGCAAGGATTAGTAAGGGTTCAATAAGGAGCCAGCTGTGGCTGTCTCAACGAAACTAGCGGTATTATTAAGCGAAGCGACCCTTGACGATAGTCAACCGTTCAACCATAGTTTATAATCCACCCGAGACGGCCATAGGCGGCTCCTTGTTAATAATCAACTCCAGGATTCAGCAGGGTCAATCGTAGTTAGACATCCAAGATTAAAGCAGGGTAACGTGACCTTCATTCCAGGATCAGCAAGGGAGCCAGCTGTGGCTGTCTCAGCAAGTGATTGGTCATCAGTAAGCGAAGCGACACCTTGCTCATTCTTCAACCTGCAGCGATGATCTTTAAGTTCGACCCGAGACACCCACAGGTGGCTCACTGCAGCGAGAACTAATAAGCGAAGCGACCTCGTGCCCATTCAATGGTGTGACTGATAATTATACTGAAACGGCTCCATTCAGCGGTGTTGGTAAGCGAAGCGACCCCTTGTTCATTCCACCAACCAGCCCTGGTTTATAATTGACCTGAGACGGCCATAGGCGGCTCAATGTGGTTATGATAGTAAGCGAAGCGACCCGTTATCAACAGAATCATCATCGCCACCACCAGTTTAGCCAGCGGGGTTGACATCAGCCTGTGCAGCATCAGTTTAAAAGTGACCTGAGTCGGCTCCCTAGATGAAAGTAGTAAGCGAAGCGAGTTCATTCCACCTGCAGCCTGAATTGTTAATGAATAACCTGAGACACCCACGAGGTGGCTCATTCCAGCGGTGATGTTAAGCGAAGCGACCCTGATAAACAAGGAGCCAGCTGTGGCTGTCTCAACAGTGCAACTAATTGGTAAGCGAAGCGACCCCTTGCTATCTGAGTCAGTCACCCTCATCCGTACCTCCATGACCAACATCGACTGATTCCGTCATCATCAGTAAGCGGAGCGACATCGTATTCATCAACCGAGCAACCCCGATCTATAATGACCCGAGACGGCCACAGGCGGCTCAATGGAACAGTGATAGTAAGCGAAGCAACACCGTGATCATCGTCACCCTCACCATCATCAACAAGGGGAGCCAGCTGTGGCTGTCTCAGCAAGTGCAGCACTGATTACGATCAACCGAAGGGTCAACACCGACATTAACATCAGCACCAACGATTCAGCTAAAATTAATAGGAAACTAACCTGAGACAGCAACAAGCTGGCTCAATGTAACTGGTTAATAAGCGAAGCGACCCAACAAAGGACCATTCAATCAAGCAGCCATAATCTGTAGTTCCACCTGAGACAGCCACAGCTGGCTCCCTTGCACGAGGTCGTTCCGTCTGGCTCCGGTGGCACGCTCCGGTCAACCGTGGGGTCAGCAAGTTGCAACTTATTATCCTCCGATCGACTACCATCGATCTCCGGCTAAACGCTGCAAGACCCCACTCCTTTGACCTTCACTAACACCACCTACACCAGACTCCACTCAACCCCCCCCCCCCCGACAGCCACAGCTGGCTCCCACTAGCATCGACGGAATTGAACCGCCACCTTCCAGCTTAGGACTGGTCGCACTCCCCTTGTGCTAAATGCTTTAACTACCAAGCTACCTGCGACGGCCACAGGCGGCGCCCTTCCAGTTATCTAACCAACAGAGCACCACCTGAGACAGCCACAGCTGGCTCCTTGCGCGTAACGTGCTGCTAACGTGTCACCTCGGCCGTAGCCTCAGATCCTACCCTCCCCCTCTTCCCTGTTAGAGTACGAATGGCACTAAAGGCTCATCAGGGGGGAAGTCTTTCACCGTGAGCCGATTCACCACGGTTAGACCGCTTCACCACAGCCCCATTTCTGTTGCTGCAGATCCACTAGCTCCACTTTACGCCCGGCTCAGGCGGCAGAACCCTCTCGGGCGTACCCTCTGCAGGAACACCATACCGTAACTCCCCTCCCTCCCCCTTCCAGACCCACACCCCCACCACCCAAAGATGGCGAGGACGTGACCGAACACCCACCGCCAGGATGGAGTCCTTCTAGAAGAATTCAGTTCGTTTCTTCAGGTATAGTGTTATCACCCCAGCAACATCCGTATCCACGCGTTATAGTAAGGAGGTCTCCGTCGTGTCAGGTTCGGCAGCAGGTACAGCTCCCTACCTCCCAACGTACCACTGGCCCCCCTCCCATCATCCCAGAATACCAGGGACGTGATCAAGAAGCTGTACTCCCACTGGACGTGGTTTCCTGGATACGTGTTTAGTAGGGTTCACCGCCCTTAGTCCGTTTACCCTCTCGCCCACACCCCCCATAAAGAGGAGGTTCCCTTGACTCGCATCGGCACCCAACTAATCTCACACCCCCGGTTTACAAGGCCTTCACGGCACATGGTTCCTTGGGCAGTTAGCTAGGCAAGCCGCAGCTCCGGGTGACACAGACATACCCTCCATAAACCCCTGAGGTTAGGTTGCTCTTACTCCACCCTACCGCATACCGTGTACTGTTTCCCGGTCCGTCACTTTTTATCCTCCGGTCTCACTCACCCCGCCGCCATCTTCGCCCCCATGTTCGGTGGGACCGTTCAGATGCAACTTCGGGATGCAAGCTATACCATCGGCTGTTACGGGGGGCCGCGCAGTTTGGCGTTCAACAAATAGGGGAGTCACCTCAGCAGGTACTATAACGGTTAGAACACGAACACCACCGTAGCGATGTCCCGCCACCCAAGAACGCCCTCCACCCCTCACCACCGCGACAGCCCCCACCCACCACACCACCCACCGCTGAAGAGGCGATAGTTAACGTGACACATGGTTGTTACTGAAGCCCAGGGTTCTAACCGAACGTTCCCAGACAACAAGCACCCCCAGTTTCCCAGAGATGCACTCGTCCTGCCAACACGCCGCTCGCCCAACAGCCCCACAGGATGGATCATCGTACCAACGGACCAGCCCCACCCTCAGATGAAACCGATGAACGTCGCCTCCCCTCACACTGATCGACCGTCGCATGCTACAACGCAGTTGACACTCCTCGATGTTGGCCCCTCCTACGCCAACACCTCACACCCCCTAAAGAGATGCCCCATCTTCCCCCGCACCACATCCAGACCACCGCCACCACCCCAAGAAGACACCAAGGCACCCCAGAGCACCGCCCCGTCCATCGCTGAACAAAGAAGCGGCACCCCAAAGAAACCCCAGCCCCACCCCGCAGTGGCAACCGTAGCCCCAACGCGATACGCCAGAAGCTCCCCCACCTTGTACACCCACCCACCCCCGGGTCCGATGCACTCAGTGAAGCTCTTAGTTTAACGTCATCAGGGGTCCTACCCCCCAGACGGCTTACCCGTAGGCATTGGCTGCGGCAGTCCTCGAAAATAACCTCACGCCCAGCTCTCCGTCCCCCTCTTTCGCGCCTACCCGCCCTCTTCCCCATCAAAGTACCACCCAACGCCCCACCCCCAAGGAGATGAAACCCAAGATGATACCCCAACTAGGAAGACGACGCAGCGGTACCCCCTCCCCACCGTCACCGATGAGAAAGTGCTACTCCCGAGAAGTCCATCCTGCTGTTGCCCATCCAGTAGCCCAACACCCCACCCCTCTCCCTCCCCCGCCATCCCTGGCAAAGAAGATCAAGAAGTGAGGTGCGTGACCCCCTTCCAAGCAACGTGCTCCCTACTCCCATGTTATCGCTCTAGTTACCGTCCCACCCAACTACTTTCCCCTTGCGAGGGTCCGGATTACTCGTCCCCCAGTAGAGCGACAACACCCATCACCGCCAACCACCGAGCGCACCCGAAGGTACTAGGTCGTTGAAGATGATAGATGTTGCCCCTCCTAAACACCCCGCAGCAGTCGTTGGACCGATCTAAGGATGTATCTGAGTTAGAGAGGTGAGAGACCGTGGCTCCCTGTACATGGTGGGGTTGTATCCCTCAAACTGTTCCTCCGCAGCCTCAATCTGTAGTTCATTGAGTCAGTCCCCCACGAGTCACCCAAGTGAAGTTCAGGCGAAGGGGTGTGTTAGCGAAGGGGGTTTAAGGTGCTGGCCTTGCGTACCGTTACCCGTAAGATGACCCTTCGGAGTGCTCCACGCGCAAGAGTCCCCAACTTGTTGGGGATGGCGAAGCCACCCGAAGGGCTCTGAGCATGGATCACGGAGATGGGTCGTCTGGAGGGTATAAGGTTCGCAACTCGCAGGCCAGTACCGGCCCCCGCAGCGTGCACCCCGTAGCCTGAACGTAACGACCCCGTGCACACCCCCACATGAGGAGGGACTCGCTAGCATCGAAGTCGTGAGACAGCCACAGCTGGCTCCCATTCCGAAGAGGTGCCACCGTGACATTCAACCGTGCAGCCTTAATCACGAATCACCTGAGACAGCCACAGCTGGCTCCCCTCCGAAGGAGAGTACCCTAATCTTCAACCATGCAACCTGAATTGATAATCACCCGAGACAGCCACAGCTGGCTCCCCTTGCGGAGGGTAACCATTGCAGCATGAATGTTGAATCACCTGAGACAGCCACAGCTGGCTCCCATCCGAAGGAGTGTCACCTGAATAATAACGAGCAGCATGAATTTAAAGTAGCTCATGAGACGGCCACAGGCGGCTCCCCATTGAACCAAGTGCTGCACAAGGTCGTTCCGTTCATCTCCGTTACGGGGGCACGCTGCGGGGCCGGTCGTTGGCTTGAACCTGCGAACCTTATGTCCTACGATCGACTACCATCGATCTCCGGACAACGGCCCTCAGCGCCAACTCCCTTAAACCCCTCCGCTACCACCCCCTCCACTCCGACGAACTCCACTTGATACCTCACCCAATCCCCACCCGACCCAAATAAACCGTTCAGCCTCAATTAATAACGATGATGACATCAAAGTACTCACCCCCCCCCCCACCCTCATTAACCCCGAAATCAATCGATTCGACCTCCATTTCAATTGAATCCCTCAATCCGATTCGTTGACACAAAAAGTGGGTTCACCCGCCACCCCCTCTACGTT